ATTAGACAGAAAATTACAGAGAAAAATAGACTAAGAAAAATTTATCAACGTTCTCACTCCACCCAAGACAAAAGAAGATTTAATGCTGCCAATCGAAACCTCAGAAAACTTATCCAAGAGTACAGAAACAATTGCTGGGATAACTTCATTGAAAGTCTTTCGCACACCGACCATTCTGTGTGGAAAGTTGCTAAAGCTCTCCGAAGCACTCCCTCCAATATTGGACCGATTCTGGATGATAATAATACCAAAATTTACGATCATAAGAAAATTGTCAACCTTTTCGCTGATAACTATGAACAACAGTTTAATATAAATAATTTCCCACACCCGAATGATATTAATATTATCAATCACGTGACCAATTTCCTCTGCAAAGATCCTGAAAATCAAAACAACCCGACTTCTCCCAAGGAAATACAGAAAATTATAAAGAAACTTAATCCAAAGAAAGCATCTGGATATGACAATATCACTAATAAGGCCCTGCAATACCTCCCAAGGAAAGGCATCATCCTTATTACGAATATTTTTAACGCATGTTTAAGACTTAATATATTCCCAAAAAATTGGAAAACACCATTCTAACTGTCATTAAAAAAGCCTGGCAAAGCTGGAAATCTCACAAGTAACTTTCGATCAGTCTTCTGCCTGCAATTGCCAAACTTTTCGAAAAGGCTTATCGAGTCTCGACTCACCACTTTTATTAATGAAAATAACATCATCAAAGACCATCAAATTGGATTTCGCCAGGGATTCTCAACGACTCAGCAGATCGCCCGAATCGTAGAATTCATAGGTGAAAATTTTAATAAAAAGGAAGTAGTTGCTGCTATTTTTATGGATGTAGAGAAAGCCTTCGATAAAAGTTTGGACATCACGGTCTTATCATTCAAGCTGATGAACTATAATTTCCCACCTGCCATCATCCATCTAATCGCTGATTTTTTAAAGAACAGAACTTTTCAAGTTAAGATTCAAGATAACTATTCCACCACAAGAAAAATTCACGCGGGTTTAACCACAGGGGTCGGTAATTTCCCCGCTTCTCTATAATTTATATACTAATGATCTTCCTAATATTAAAAATATTCTCACTGCATGCTATGCCGATGACACGGCACTTTTATGTCACTCACTTAATCCATATCATGCAAGAAATAAACTACAGAATGCCATTAATTACATTTCACCCTGGTTTAAAGGATGGAAAATTAAAATTAACCCCGAAAAATCAAAAGTGATTTACTTTAAAAAAGGAAATATCCCTCAAGACTGAGAAGAAATTACGATGGACAGACAAATCGTGTCACACGTGACCACCAAGCAAAATATCTATGTGTTTATCTCGACCAGAAGTTAACTTTCAAATTTCATGTTAATTATATCAGAGACAAAGCACAACGTATACCCTTTGATGTGCAAATATTCGAAGTTAAATATCAACGCTAAAAGAACACTCTATCTACAGGCAATCCGACCCATAATTCTATATGCCGCTGCGGCGTGGGCAGCTACTGCACGTTCAAACCGAGCAAGGCTTCAAAGTTTTCAGAGTAAAACTCTCAGATTCCTATCGAACTCTCCGTGGTTCGTTAGGAACACTGTCATCCATAATTCTCTAAAGATTTTACCATTAGATGCCGAATTACTAAAGATTACATTCAAATTCTACAAAAAATGTGATTCCTCCACTCACGAAGTTATTAAAAACATAGGGGAGTACGACTATCTAATCGAACAGCCGCATAAACGGCCCAGAACTATACATCATAATGTTAGATGGTAGTTCTTGTATATATTTTATTATTTTCAACTATTTAATCTAGATTTTGTTTCATCTTTATCATCATTTTCATCTTACTATGGACTTTGCCCGGTACCAAGGCTGCTGACTTTATCATAATTAAATTCGTATATCACGTGACAGTCTACTTCCCTATGAGTATTAAGATATAGGTACTTTCGCCTCAGACGAAAGCAAAAAAATTTCTGGGACTTGTATATATTATTTTCCATTTTTACTGTACGATGTGTTAAAAGATATGCCATTGCGAAAAGATATGCCAAAATTATTAGTTGCTATTATTGCTTATCCAACGAATACTTCATCTGTGGCCGATATATGGTGTCACCCCTGATCAACTTCTTCACTACTGAAGACTTTGCACTTTTATTACAAGTGCACAGCGAACTTTTACAGGTCCTTAGGGGATTGATAAACATGTAGTGAGTCATCGAGTCGAACCAGTACCTCTATGTATGATGTATGTAGGAGGTACTGGTCGAACACCACTTTACGAATGATGATCTCCGGTAAAAGGGAATTTATATGATCGAGGGAGGGAAAATCCTTATGTCATCGGATGATGATGTTGCATCAATTGTCTTTTGCGCCTTTAGTTTTTATTATTATTATTATTATTTTAGATTTGTAGAAATAAATGCTAAGATTCAAATTGGTTTTCAGCTCAGAAACCTAGAATGTTGAAAATTTTTTCATAATGTATGAATTTTATATGAACATAGTTCATTGCTTACTTTTGAAGATAAGGTCACTAAAATCAAGGAACTATATTCTTTAGCTGAAGTATTCTTTTTTGTCGTAAAGAAAGAAAACCGATCAATAGGTTTCCACCGCATTTACGCGGGATTTATTTAGATCGTGGTTGATTGTTTATTTAACATTTGTCAATATTGCGATCTTTTGTGTAAGCGTTAGGGATAGCTTGTTTTTATTGTTAAAATGAGTTTTGTTGGTAAAAACAAAACTTTTCACAGTGATACTAAGAAATTGCTGCCAGTGGCGTAGCTAGGGTGGGGAAAAGGGGGGTATCTGTGCCCGAGCGCAACATCCTAGGGGCGCCATATTGATGGTACGAAATTTTAGAATGAAGTGTTTTGCTTTCCTGCCACGCAGAAAGAGGCGCAAAATCTTCAGTTGTCCCCAGGAAACCCTAGCTACGCCTCTGATTGCTGCATAATGTCATTACATTTCGTGACATCGAAGCCGAGAATAGTGAACTTAGCATTCCCATCTCACAGCCCACGAAAAGAGCCAGCAGCATTGCAGGAGTATCGCTGACGACAATAAAGAAAATTCGCCCAGAGACAGGGAGGAAGAGCCAGTTTTTAGTTCCCCGAAAAAAAAAAAAAGCCCAAAAAAGAAGAATTAAACAGGATTGGTTTAGATGGTTTTGAATGCGATGGTATTCGAAGAACTGTTCATGAATTTTATATTAAGGGGGAAAAAATTCCATCCCTTTCAAAATTACTTCCTGTGCTGCAAGCAGTGCTTGAATTGCGCCGGAGCTCACCGGAGCCCAGCTTCGGTACTTCTCAATTTTTAAAATAATTTACAATTCTAACCGGAACGCACCGGAGCCCTAAATAAGATGAGCTCCGGTACTTCTTTTTATAAAACTAAACCACGATTTCAAGAGGAAAATTTTAAAATTCCTAACGTTTTAGTTTAACAATAAGCAGACTTTCCAATACTTCCAATTTCCCTAGAAATACGAACTCATGAGAACATGAGACGTTCAAGTAAAGTCCCCTCACTCACACGCGGAAACTTTTCCCTTTAAGAAGGGCAATAAATTTGGGGAGTTTGTTTAGGAACGCGTAAATTTCTCGCCATGCCATCGTATTTAGTGTATTGTTATCGATGGTTAGTTATCCTCGCAGGAAGGAAAATTTGTGTTCTTAAATGTGCGTTAAGTGACAGCGAGTGCAATAAGAGTGAAATGCTGAGATAAACTGCTCAAGCACGTCCCACAGTATCCTCTATATCTATGTATATACATTGTCTGCCCACAGTATCCGCTAATGTAAACAAATACGGGGGGGGCAAAAAGTATAACCAGCAACTTTACATTCATCCTTAGGAGTCAGATTCAGGACTCATTTTACCTCTGACACACATCCACTTGATGGCTATAATTATATCAGGAGGGCCGCGGTCAAAGAGAACGTTTTCTCTCACCAAGATTCCTCTCATTTTTTGTTTCCACCCACTCATACTTTCACACCCTTATTCTGTTTTGCCCTGTTTTAGCATTATCTTAATTTTCATCAGCTATACTTTAAGTATATTTAATTTTTGTGATGATTTTTTTCCTATGATCAGAGTTTAAATTGGGCCGGAGCTCACTCGATCCCGGCTCCTATGCTTCTTAATTTTGGTAATAAATCATAATTCTAGTCGGAGCGCAACGGAGCCGTAAATAAGAAGGCTGCGGCACTTCATTTATGTAGCTGAATAACAAAATCAGTAGAAATTGTGCCTCGAAAATTTTATTTTTAGCAATAAAATTATATTAAAAATCGCTTATTAAATTTTTATTTATCTCTTTGGATTTAATTTAATTTAAATTATTTAATTACTTTAATCTTTAATTATTTCAATAAATAATAATTAATTATCTAATAATTATCAATTAAATTAGAATTAATTAATTTGATAAAAATCAACTATTTAATTTTAAAATTATTACTGAGTGAGTCATTTGATTTATTTATTTACTCTTGTTCCTCTTTGCTGACGGTCTTTCATAGGGCTCCGGTACTTCTAATTTTAGAAATTAAGCCCTGGCTGCAAGTAAAGATTTATTTTAAATGGAAAAAAGAAACATTAAGAAATGTACTGCATAGTATTTGTTTCGTATGGAGAAAAAGCCAAAATAAAAGAAAAGTTTTAATTGAAAGAAGTGACATTGTGTTAAAAAGAACGCAGTATCTTAGAAAAGTGAGGCAATTTCGTCGTGAAAGAAGACCCCTCATTTACTTGACGAAACCTGGGTGGATAGCAACATAACATTTTCAAAGTTTTGGGAATCGGAAGCAGTTCTTGGCGTCGTGCAGAGCGGCAATGCATCGAAAAGAATTACTGTTTTATGTGCTGGAGGAGATACGGGATTTTTACCTGATAGTCTCTAGTATGCAAAACAAATACCACATCAGGGGATGTGGTATTTGCTTTGAACACTAGAGACGGGCAAATGAATTCTACTGTTTTTGAAAAGTGGACTTCCGAAAAACTCATTCCGAATCTTCCACCAAATGCTGTAGTGATTCTAGACAATGCCATCTACCACACTGTTCAAGTAAATAAATGTCCAACTATGGCAAGCCGAAAAGGAGAAATTATCCATTGGTTACTTAACAAAAACGTACAGTTCTCTCCAGTTTTACGGAAAGTGACGTTAATAGAGCTTGCGAAACAAAATACTCCTAAAGAAAAGTCATATAAATTTGATTCGATTCTCGAAAAACATGGTTTTACGGCTCTACGTCTGCCTCCATACCACTGCGACATTAATGCAATTGAATTCGTATGGAGTGAAATAAAGCAATTTGTTCGGAACTGCAACACAACTGGAGACATGGAAATGAATAAATTATTAAAAATTACAAAAGAAGCTCTTGAAAGCGTAACGATAGAAAAATGGAAGAAGTACACTACTCTCGCGTAGAAAATGACTATTGGGAAAAAGATGGTTTGATTGAAGATTTATGCGAAGCTTTGATTATTTCCTCTGATGAAGAGGAAGACAACTTAAATATGTGTAGTGACTGTGATACAGAATAATAAGTACTGAGGTAAGAAATTTCGTTTTTTAGTTCCCTAATACACATAATACTGCATATAGCTTTCAGCGCAAAAATCGAAGCGATGCAATATTTATTATAATATAGTTATTATAATTACTCAATAAATATAATGATTATTTATCACTGTATAATCATTATAATTAATTAATAGGAAATGTTTTTCAGTGTGTAATAATGCAGATAGATCGTAGCTCGAAGATAAAAAAAATAAACTAATTATCAATTACAACGTAATTATAATAATTATTATAATAATTAAATTATTAGAATTCATTGTAATAATAATATAATAACGAAAATCATAAATAAAATATAATGATTGAATAATTATAATAAAATTTACTTATTATGTTTTTTTTATATAAAATAATGTTATACTGCAAAACTAATTTTAGAAAACACTTGTATTTTTAAGAATATATACAAAAATGCTTAATATTAAACACAATTTATTAAAACAGCTAATAATAAATGATGATCAGCATATCAGCTTAGATTACTTAAAAGTAATTTTGTCTTCTTATGTCTGTGCCCTTTAAACGCTGTGGAAATAAACAGGGAAAAAGTAAAACCGAAAAAATCCCTACAATATGATTCCATCCACCCCATTTTGAGAATAAATCGGTCCAAATGGCGCATGCGTGTTTGCGCTCATGGTCGCCAGAAGACGGTAGAACTATAGTATACTTTATACCTAATTTAAAAAACTGGAGTGACAATGAAATTTTAAAACATTTTAAAGAATTAGAACGGATACTAAAAATGTTAATGAAAAAGACATTGATGGATTAAATTTGTTCGAAGAAATAAAATCTGTGCGATGTTTTACTAAAGAGGATATGTCACCTATTGATGTTTTAAATGATATTTATGAAAACAATCTTACTCATACATTTCCAAATATTGCAATAGCTTTACGGATTTCTTTAATGCTACCAGTTTCGATGGCTACTGGAAAGGAAGTTTTTCAAAACTTAAAATTATAAAAAACTGCATGCGATCTACTGTGGCGCAGGAAAGATGATCGGACTTGTAAATTATATCCACAGAGAGCGAAATTTTGGATAAATTAAATATAAAGGAATTGATACGCGCGTTTGTAGCTGCTAAAGCTAAGAGAATCAATATTTGAATATATTTTCTAATTTTTATATTTTACTTAAAAAATGTTTTATCATTGTTTTGTTTTTTAAATTTATGAAGTAATAAAAAAAATAAGACAAGCGTGTTTTAATATTATAATTTTAAAGCTTTTCAATTCGAAAGTCAAGTTTTGAATACTATGAAAGAGTATTTCACATATAATTTGCAGCACTTTATAAGAGTGCAACAGAACCCCATAACGGGGCGCCAAATTTCAATTTGAAGAAGGGCGCCTAATACCCACGCGACGGCCTTGTACATATGTCACGGAAAACATTCTTCTGAATCCATTTTACTATCTGTTTTGAGAAAAAGAGTCCTATTTCTTCTATAGAAGGTACTGATGGTGTATTTGAAGTTATTTTCTGAGTTGAACCAACATGACGGAAGCTTAACAGAAGTTTTTATCCTGTATTTCAGACAAGAATTTTATAAAGGCATGGAAGATAGTTTTTATACTCTCTCTTATGCCAAAAAATTCAAGTGATCATAAAGAACTCCAGACTACCATGCCAGCTCAGGAAACAGCAAGAAGTCACATGGTGTTAGGTGGTGTAATAAACAGAATAAAGTGGTTAGTCATCACTCACAAATGTATTTTTCATTAAAAAAAACAGAGATAACATTTATGAGAAAATAAAAAATGATATTGACACCCCAGATCTTTCACTATCGAAGTTATTCATATTTGGATCCAAAGATCCTAATATTTATATAAAAAAATTCTTAACAGGCTAACAAATAAAGAAATGTTGATATTGCATAACAGGAAGCTTTTCAGTCTGAGATTTTGTAACATTCATGTTTTACATAATGCTTTAAAAAAAAATTTAACATAAATTAAAAACAGATGCTTCCGATACTGATGCTACTATATAATTTCTTTAATGATAGGCCCCCATAAAGTGAAAGGATTATGAACAAAAATTGCTACTCCAAGCCATCAATTTCTCAAACATTATTCTATCCAGATGGCTTGCAATGAAATATTCTGTCTGAAGAGTGCTTGAGCAGTGCAGTATTGTTAATTAGTATTTTTTTGTTTTTAATACTTTCTCTTAACCTTTCGGCAGTTACCAGATTAAGCAATTTTTTTTTTTTCCAAATATATGCGATATACATAAGCTTGTGCCCATTGTGATGTGTAACTGGAATGCAAGCTAAACTCGTTGATGATCATCAAAAGATAAAAAACCCCAAATTAATACCAGCTGGCACTTATTAAATTACCAGGCAACACTTCTATTTTTTCGATCAACCATACATTAATTTTTCACTTCACTGGTCTGTTTCTGAAAGATGAGCCATTTGTCTATTTGTCGTATTCAGTAGCCAAAGTATTGACCTCACTCTAGGTGGAAAAGTACATATATAGGTATACACTGATGAGCCAAAACATTATGACCACCCCAGCATTTTTCAGTGAACTCGCCTGGAGGGCACGTGATTAAATGGGAATGATATTTAACTGCTACTGGAGACGGTAAGGAATTATTCATTCTCATTTCGATTCGAGGGGTGACTTTCATGCGTGAAGGTTGTCTGTCTCCGATGTTTCTAACTGGTTTTAACCACGTGATTATTTAGATGTACGTCCTTTGCCTCGCGCATTTTCGCTATGCCTAATTAACATCGTTCGGTCCTTGTGGACCAGTCGTATGCTGTCCTAAAAAGTTTTGGGCATGATTTGGATCATCCTGCAAATAAAGAGATGTACGAAGCTCTTAATAATATGGATGCTTTGCAAGAACAATTAAGAAACGGCAAGCCTATGAAGACAGCGGAAAGCTGAGAAGATTTTCCTTGCCCTTATGGAGAAGAAATGCTATGGGATAAGACAATTCTGCGATAAGGATTTCTTTAAGGAGTTTCTTAAAAAACATCCGATTGTCATTGAATATCACCGAAGACAAGCTGAAAGGAAGAGAAAGCAGTTTCTCAAAGTCTACAGATGATGAGTGGTAAATGCCGACCAAGACTGCAAAAATTTTCACTGCTCCTGTTAAGGAACCGTTGAAACCCCCTGTGAAGAAGACTCCCGTTGTTACTAAGGTCTCCGACGTTGTTAACGACGAATAGAAAGCTTTTTATTTTGAAGCTCTCGCTGCAGTTCCTGATCCTGTGGTCATGGACTATGCTGAAAATTTGGATAACGCTGTTAATGATCTTACGCATGCTTCGGCGGCTAAGACTGATCCTAAAAGTAAACGATTTCTTCCGATTTTCTGCCCAAGATCGGATGTGAAATAATGATTTACGAGGACTCTTTACCAAATATGGTGTTAAGGATTATGTAGGTGTTTTGACTAATGATAAAATTACTCGGATATTCAACTCAACTGATCATAGAGGCAGCTGTGCTAATGAAAGATAAAATACAGTTTAGCACTTTTCGCCCAAAGAAGGAAATACCACTTAAGATGGTTATTCGTGGCTTGCCTGACGACTCGCCTGTGGAGGAGATCAAGGCCGAGCTGATCAAAGACGGATTTCCTGTGTTAAACATGACGCAGTTTATAAGAAAATTGATGATAAAGAAGTTAAGTTGCCGGTTTTCTTTGCTTCATTCAAGAGGAATGATGAAAGCAGAACCATTTACAGAAAGAAAACTCTGCTGCACCTTAGGGTAAAGTTTAGAAGATACAGATGCAATCTAAGCAACATGATTTGCTGTAGATGTCAGCGTTACGGCCACGGTCAGATGTTTTGTAACAACTCGCCAAGATGTCTCAAGTGTGGGCAGGGACACCTGACATACACCTGCAAGTTAGCCAAAGAAGCCTACTTGCGTGAACTGCAAAAAGGAGCATATAGCCACTTCTAAGATTTGCGAATTTCGGCCAAAAGTTCTTGATGCCTCTAATAAGAAGAAAAAGAATTCAGCGTGGAAGCCGCAGTCAGAGAATTTGCCTTCGCTGACTGAAAAACCAATCCGGAAAGATAGTAGTATGCCATCAGAATCCCACTCAGATGCTAGCACTCCAGCTAAATTGGATTTCGCGATGGACAAAAACTTGCAGATGATTAAGACACAATAACACGCCGAATAAATACTACTTCACAAGTCAAACAACAAAAATCAGCGTTATATTTACAAAATTTTCACAGGACTAGTTTCGATGGTTTTAGCGAACCACCATCTTTAGCTGCAAAACCGCAAATGAACAAGATAGGAAATAAAGATTAGATACGATAAGAAAGCCTGGACAAGAATAAGCAAGTGGCGCCATCTGTTGGTGAAACCAGAACTAAAACATAATTTCTTTAAATGCCGAAGGCAAATTTGGATTGGAATTAGGATCGTTAACTAGAACAGAAAGATTTTTATGAATGTGAAATGCCTCTAGAAAAGTTGAAAGTGTGATTTTCGGACCAACAATGTTGAGCAACAGAAGACTTCTGTGTTTTCTTTTTTCTAACGTATGTCTCATGTTCCTTGACGCGAAATTTTAAGGCTCTCTTAGTTTGGCCAATGTAAATTAAATCACACTGGCAAGGAATCCTATAAATACCCCAGGAATTCATATCCGGAATGGGGTCCTTGAGTATGGAACTCGGAATTACAGATGATTGCTGTCAAGTTTCATGAATTTGTGGGAAAATATAAAAAAAATAAAATCTCCGCAGGATAAAGTTTTACTTGCCCTGGGAATGGTCGAGCAGATGATAAAAATGGACTTATAAATTCCTCCTATTTTCGCTTGAAACTTGAAATTAACTTTGCTTACTTTGTAGTGTGCTCGGGCCTCAGGAGATGGCACAGCCCTCCGAACTCTGCGTTCCTGCTCTGGTTTGTAGTCACGCCTGCCATGCATTAGGCTCCTTCCTCTGTAGTTCATGATTCTTTCCTCTGAAATTTACTCGTCCGGCATTTCTAACGTCATGCGCCTTTATGGCTTTGCTTGTCATCGAGCCGGACACGTCGCTTTTTGCACGTTATTTCGGTGATATTCGTACGGATATGGATGTAAGGAATTATTTTTGCACTTACTGTTGCGAGTGATGGGAAAGGCTGCTGATATCAGCGAATTTATTAGAGGGCAGATTGTAATAACCCGAAGACTCCGAATGTGCATTTTCCGAAACTGCAAAACTGGTAGCTTATTCACGATCTGCCTTTTTAGTATTTATGCAAAGTGAATAAATGTCGGTGAAACCAGCAGTAGACGCCAAAGTGTTGGATGTCCACGTGTCATCAAAGAAAAAGGACGAGGCACACGAGGGCTATCTGCCTAAAGGGAGGGATGCTTTCTTGGAGGACTTTCTAAGGGAAACTGGCTCGTAAACACGTTACACATGGGGAAAACCACGAAAACGTCCATGCAGACAGCCCGTTCGCGGGATTCGAACCTCGGACCGAACTACCAGTGTTCAGCGTCTTTACCGCTCGGCTGCTGATGAGCCAAACAAAGCTAGCTAGAATAAGGATCCAATCACATTATGTTTCAGCTATGCCGGACTTGACGTCGAAAGGGACAATTCTCAGAACTCGCACAATTCCAGGAAACACACTTAGCTAGGTTACCACTCTCACTTACTACAAAGACTTGAACGCCAAACAGTAATCGTTTATGACTCAAATCGGGATCATGTGATTCTTCAGAAGCAGAACTTTCGTCTGATTGGTTCTCTCTACCTGGGACCCGAGAGATTTTCGGTGAGGTTTGAAAAAATTCCGCGTAGCCGCAACACTGCTTCCATAGTTAGGCGGGACTTTTTTTTTCTTAGGAATCCTCCCATTTAAACCAGTGCTACCAGAATCTCGTTTCTCAGAAAAGTCCCGTCTAGCAGGGACTGTAGCCCTGTGTGATAACCTATTTAGGCCTCATCGTTTTCCCTCTCTCTTGTAAGCCGTGTTCTGCGCCAACTGTCAAGCTTCAAACATTGCGCAGAAAGCAAATTTCGTTCCAATGCGCAGTGTACGCGTACGCGAGATCCACCTACTCAAGACTGTAATTTTTTAGCCTACCCCGTCCACACAAGTTTACTCTCCTGTCTCTAGCCTTGTGTCGATGGTTCAGATACTGTCGTTCATTTTGCTCGCATACATCATAACAACGGATGAGGGGTTACTATTGTTTAATGACCCTCTCCTTTTATATTCGCTATAGTCGCGATGTTTGACTTCAATAAAAACTAAGGGGGTTCGAGAAAAGAAAAATTTGAAAAAGAGCTTCTTCGTAATGTTCCTAAGTTAAACACATATTTCATCTTGTCTACGTCTAGACCTAGTGCATTAGCCAGTGGCAGTTGCATTGATGCTGCTGATGACTGTCAACAGGCAACTCGAATAAACGTGTCTGACTGCAACGAGCTACATGAAAACATTATTTCTGAAAACCCAGTAACAGCTACAAAAAACAATTCTTTGGAAAATCCTGAATCTAATTCTTTAAGTGACGATCCTGCTGAATGGATGCTAGACGAAGTTACATTGGAGTACTGTTCAAAATGGCGTGAAACAAATTATTGATGCCGACTTTTCTTCTTCAAGGTGTCAATACGCAGATAAAACCAGGTATCTATTGCTGTCACTTTTTAGCCGAACATTAAGCAATGGTGAAACGACATCGATCTTGACTCATATTTTCGAAGAGCAAGGGTGCAGTGTTTTGAGACCCTTGTAAGATGTTTGGAAAATTGGGGTCGCTAGCTAATGAAGGGTACAACGACTGGAAAAACACAGTTCAAAGAATGAAGGAACATGAGAATTCGGACGAACAAAGGTCAGCACTTGCAACACTATTATCTACGAAGAATGCTGGCAGTAGAGTTAACAAGAGTCTTGTTCTTCAAACGGAAGAAGTAAAATACTCGCATGAGGTTTTGAGGCGAATTGTGGCTGTTGCGAGGTCACTTTCTGCATGTGGATTGCTGTTTAGAGGTTTTCATGAGAGATTTGGAACTATGTTATAACCCTGGAACCTTTGGCTGAGTTCCATTTTTTTTCTGGACTTACACATAAAACGCCACGGTAACAAAGGAAGTGGCACAACATCATATCTTTCATCCAAAATATGTGATGAAATGATCAATATCATGGCAGAAAAGGTAATAAATACAATCATGACTGAGATAAAACATGCCAAATATTTCTCTATCTGTGTGGACTCTGGACATTTCTCATGTAGTCAACTTTCTTTCATAGTGAGATATGTCTCTGAATACGGATGTTCTGTCGAACAATTTTTGAAATTCATTCCAAATTGTGGCCATAAAGTGGAAGACTTGGCTAAAGTCATCCTAGAGACATTTAAAAATCACGACTTGGATGTCGCCAATTGCCGGGGGCAGTCTTACGACAATGCTAGCAATATGTCGGGTGTATATTCTGGTCCTCAAGTGAGAATAAAACAAGTGAACTCTCTGATGGATTTCGTTCCTTGTTCGACTCACTCACTGAAACTTGTTGGATCCTGTGCGGCCGAGTCTTGTCAAGGTACTGTATCTTTCTTCGGTATTTTGCAGTCATTGTATAATTTTTTTTTCCGGCATGAACACACAGATGGGAAATTTTGCTGTCGAAACTCAAATTCAAGACTCGTGAAGAGTCTTTCTCAGACAAAATGGTCTGCTCGAACTGACGCCTGCCGAAGTCTATGTTGCTCCTGGGATGAGATCATGGCAGCTCTTCAGATAATTGCCAATGATGCAAATGAAAAACCATCTACGCGCTCTTAGGCTTCAGGTCTTCTGAATTCATTAGACTCGATGGAAACTTGCTTTTTATGACTTCTCTGGAATGACATCTTGGAAAGGTTCAACAAAGTAAGCAAATCTCTCCAATCGGTTAACATCGACCTGGTTACGATTGTTAAACTGTATCAGTCTTTGGTAACATACCTAGAACACTTAAGAAAAACTCAGTACTTTTGTTATCACAAGTTATTGAAAAATCCGGTGAAAATAGCTATGCATATGACACGCTCAGGAAACGTAAGGACTTATAAGCACTTGTAAGGACCGCAACAAACCCTGGAAAGGAAGGGTTTAATTATCCTTTATTCTCACAAATTGCAGCCACTCCCACACTTCGGGATACAAAGAACAGCACTTGTGGTCTGAACGTAAAATAAGACTACAAACTAACTAAATTTAAATAAGAGCTAAACTAAAATACTTTTCAAGGCTAGTAACGCTAAGATTTTCCTTTTAGATTTTTACGTATGTAGTACGCAGAATGCGGGGAAAACTACAATATGTCTTCAATATCAAGAGGACTAAACTTCTGGCTTCAAAGGCAGACAGCAACTGACTGAAAGCCCACGTGAAATAAGGTGGCAAGAAGTCTCACTCACTCTCTCTCTAACTCTTCTTGGCAAAAAGCCACAACTTAAATACCTAAGAGTTTGCAAGCAAAATTTGCATAAATAAAACTAACGCATTTATGGCCGGAAGTGGAAAATAAGAGAAGACAGTAAAGTTCTAAAATAAAATAGACATTAGTAAAACTTAAGGTCCTTATACAAATACTTATCGAAAAAAGGCTTTTTGGACATTTATCCAAATATAGGGGCCGAGCACTGAACACTAGTAGTTTGGTCCCTAAACACTAGAGGTTTAAATCCCACGAACGGGCTGGTTGCATGGGCGTTTTTGTGGTTTTCCCCATGTGTAACATGTATACGAGCCAGTTTCCCTTAGAAAATCCTCCACGAAAACATCCCTTCCCTTAGGCAGACAGTCCTCGAGGCTTTGCCATAATTACACAATATAAACCAAACCAAACATAGGAATAGCGCTCCAAATGCTGTTAAGTACAACAGCGTCAAATTGCTTAGCAGAATGATCGTTTTCAGCGCTAAAGAGAATAAAGAATTACTTAAGATGTAACATAAGAGAGAACAGGCTCAATTCACTCTCTGTAATGTACACAGAGCCAGAAATAATGCAGTCAATTGACTATGATGACATCATTCGTTCTTTTGCACAGAAGAAAGTTCGTAAATTTTATAGAATAACGTTAAGTAAAGTAACATAGATTGTATTATTCTGAATTCTGATGTTTATTAAAGTCACTGAAGTTGATTAAAAATTATATGTTCTGTACTAGTGCATTTCCAAAATAGCTTGGGGTTTAGTTCTATACTAGTGGGAAGCCCGGGTCTGTCTGGTGCGCTGACATTTTCCCATACAGCTTCAAAATCATTTCTCTATGACACAAGCACATATTGAAACATTGCAATTTCTTTTTCACAGTAAGCAATATCAAGGGTGTTGTTTTATAAAATCTCAAGTATCTAACACTAGGTCAGTTATTTCATTACAAAATTTAAAATTTTAATCCCACAAATCCCTGTTTTTTTAATCCAATGTCTAGTGGTTAATGATGGGCAAGATCTTTCTCAAAAAGTATGTACGAATGACAAAATATCATTGTAAACACTTCTAATAGATAATGGTTCTTACATTCAGTCCAAAACTTAATGAATCCATGCTATCTATGTATTCCTCCTCTTTACTGAATCTAAAGAGTCATGATGACCTAAAGAGTCATGATGAAGTGACAGCGCTTTTTTTGCCGAAAAAGATGCACAACCTATCAACCATTTCAAAACTTTCCTTTCCTTTTTTTTTTTTTTTTTTTTTTTTTTTACTGCAGCTGTGTTATGAAGATTTGTAGATATTTGCTTCTGTTAATTTAAACTGAGATCTAGTCTTGATTGCTCCGAATGTGGGAAGTTGTAAACTTGCTTTAATATGACAAAGAAATTTCTTACATCTTGAGATGGATATTGATAATACATTCAAATTACAAAATTTATCCTTGCTTCACACACTTGTTTTGTCAACACCAAAATAGCAGAGAAGGGCAGCAGAGTATTCTTTCTTTAGCACTGAACTAGCTAACAAGCTAGTTTTCTTGCACTGAGCAGCTTAGAAATGTCTTACAATTCTTGTTTTTAATCCTACAAATCCCTGTTTTTTTAATCCAATGTCTAGTGGTTAATGATGGGCAAGATCTTTTATTTTTGGTTATTTCTTTTTTTCTCAAAAAAAGGTCAAAGGCTAAATACTTTTTGAATTTGATCTTATATCACACATTTCTTTCCCACCATTATCAAAGTGTTGTTAGAAAAAAATAATGAAATGTTGCTAGAAAAAATAAACTATTACAAATTTAAAATACCATTTTATGGAAATCATATGAGGTGACTCTGATATATTTTTAGATTTCATTTTGAATAACTTGAACCCCATTAAAAGGGTGACCTTTGAAAGTGTCGAGGAGACCAGAAAAAGAAGACCTTGCACAAGATGGATAGACTGTGTAAAAATTCAAAGAAGTGCAGAAATTAAAAAAAAAAAATTAACCAGACTTAAATCAAATTTTTATTATGGTATGATAATAAATTTTTAAGATAAAAAAAAGACCTATGTAGTTAAAACACACCACTAATGAAGAAAATGACAATCACTTTATTCGTCTCTGTAGTTGCGGAGCAACTGTATACGTACAAGTTTCATCTTTAGTGCAAGCACTTGTTCTGTCATCACCAAACAATTGAAAAGACATGAAAAAAATCTTTCTTTAACATAACTAAGAACTAGCTAAATGTTTTGAATTGTGTATGTTGCTTCAAATTAAATGCATTGCATAACACAAACCTCAAAATAGAAAACTTGCCTCTAGTAGACTAAAAAGTAGCAATAAACTGCTTTGAGTTCAAGGGCAAAAAATGGAATAATCTCTCCTTATAGCTACAGCATACTACAATGCGAAATTCATCTAGTCACGCAGGTGAAAAGGAGGAGAAGGGAGGCATTTGCTTTGCCTGTTGTGAAAATTTTGTCAGCTGAATGCTTGGTGCACTTCAGTATGCACAATCTTTTTAGAATTATGGAATGGGTAGAAAGACGTAAGAACTGATACAGCACAACTTGTTTCATTTTAAATATCTGACTCTTAAACAAGTGATTCAATGCGCAGCTACAGATTAAAAGTAGATAATATGAATTTTATTACATGATAATATTAAATTAATGTTGAATTCTTTTTTTTTCCCAGTTTTAAATGTATAGGCATGTGTCACATGCCCTAAGGCAGGGTTTCTAAAACTGTGGGTTGCGAGACCTGCAGCAGGGGGGGGGTTGCAAAAAATTTTAGCAGTTTTGATATTTCTTATAATAATTTTACAATTACCAAATATTTTTACACAATGTATCTGAAAATAGATAAAGATAAGACAATACAGACAAACAAAAAAACGAGAATGTTTCAACGCATTCTTTTTATAATATAAACATTCATTTTCCATGCTTTGCACGCAACATTTTTTGTTTTCACTAAGATTAATCTGAACTCGTATAGAAATATTAATTACCGTATTTGACAGCATATAAAACACACTTTTTTCCCTAAATTTGGTCTCAAAAAAGTTACCTGCGTCTTATACATGAAGGTCATTTCATCTGTTACTTATTTAAAATTTTCATTCTATGTCTTAAAATTGTTCCACGTCTTAAAATTAGAAATTAATGTTAATGACCTAAAACTGGAATAGTATATTACAGTACAAGTTTGACAGTTTCACTCACGCATGTATCGGATTTGTACAATACATATGGGGTCCCACAAAATTTTCGTAAATATTATGGGGTCCTGGGGGTCGCGAAAAAAATCTCGGTGATAAAAAGGGGTTGCAACTGAAAAAAAGTTTAAGAAACCCTGCCCTAAAGCAACACCCCTGCTCTCTATCCACTTGATAAATTCACATCAAGCTGACACTGCAATATTATCTTTACAAAACTCATACAACAAAGTCTGAGGTTCTCTTTATTGCTGGCCGATTCAAACTGTTAAATACATGAGTTATTTTGAAACTCTGTGGCTTTATATTCTCTATTGCCTTATTTTTTGTTGGTGGAAGTTTCAGTGTCATCTTTGATCTTCATCATCTGGTCAAAGTTTACATCTAAAAAAGGAATAGATCTTTTGCAGCAAACCCAATGTATATTGCCTTTCAGACAGTAAAGCACTTTTATGCATACAATCACTATTTTGTATGCTCGTTAAATTACAGGATCATCTGCCTTCCTAGATCAGCATAAAGAAATATATTTCATTTAAAATTAGTTATTGTATTATTAAAGCTATGTTTATTTCCAAAAATATTCAAAACAAAAATAATAAAAAGGTTAACATTTTATTGTACACAAGAAATATAAATACATTAGTGCAAGCAAAAATATTTCTACTTAAGTAGAATGATACCATATTTAAAATCTTAATTAGGAATATAAATATAATGTACATATAGTATGTCTTGCATATATATCTTGCACGAATTTATGAATATTAAAGGAAGTATTTATTTTTTATGGATTTACTTAATGGTATTTTGAACAAAATATTTAGCTAATTGATTTAAATACAAGTAACTTTTCATCTTAATTTAAGCATTTAAATTAAAATTATTTTATTTCCTAAGAATCCGGCTTTTTTGTTTCGGACAGGTTTTTTGACCCATGAAAATTATGAACTATTTGTGAAGGAATGGTTTGAAGAACTCTTCGAGATAACCTCATACTTCCACTTGCTGGATCTCTACCAAAGAATTTCACTTGAATTTCTTGACCTTCTTCAAGACCTAGTGCAGATGGATGATGTATCTAAAAATAAATATCCAACTTTGAATGCAAATGTATTATTAACATTAAATAGTCATATTGTAAATTTAAAATTTTCACTAAGATTAATCTGAACTCGTATAGAAATATTAATTACCGTATTTGACAGCATATAAAACACACTTTTTTCCCTAAATTTGGTCTCAAAAAAGTTACCTGCGTCTTATACATGAAGGTAATTGCATTCAATAATTGTTTATTTGGCTTTTACGAAATGTGAAAACTAAAAAAAACCACGCTATTGAAACTTTTTTCCCTTGTGTGTGGCCGTCTAAATAAGGGTGTGTCTTATATGCCGTCAAATATGGTATAAGTTTATATTTTGGAGAGATTTTAGAATAACATTAAAAGCAATTATGCCTTTTAAAATAAAAGTAGCCCTAAGTTGCATATCTTCATGTCACTGTTACATGGAGCTAGTACTGCGTTTTTTATATTAATTGCAAATGATGATGATTGATGCTGCAAATAACATTCTCCAGTAAAGAAAAATGTTACACTTTCCTTTTTTGCCTTGTGTTCACTTGCAGCATTTAATATCTGATTAAAATGAATACTTTTGGAGCAGTAATGTTGTTGGAATTTAAATATTTCTAATCTACATAGCACTAGAAATACCTGAAAGATAAAAATGGATTAGAGTACACATTTTTTTAATGTTAAGAATTATGCACAAATAATTTCTTGTATTTTTCATTTAGATATATCCATATCAGCTTTTATTCTTTTCTTTATATTTTTCTAACTGATACCTGTAGCTCAAACATATGCTGACTGAAGTGAATTATTTAAGAATCCTGCAGAATTTCTTTAATACTACACATACTAATACTACTACGAGGAGGTAGGATTCAAAAGTTCCCGGACTGCGTCTATAACGTAAAAAATATTATGAATTAAATTGCAGAAACGCATCCTCCTTCGAAATAAGACCCTTGTGCAACAATACACTTTTGCCAGTGCCTGTAAAGTTCATCGAAGCATGTCTGGAATCCATTTTTGTCCATGTTCTTTAATTCAGCCTGCGATGCACATTTAATTTCACCTGAAGATTGAAATTGACGACCCTGCAAGCGTCTTGCTAGTTCAGGAAATAGGAAGAAATTGCAGGGTGCGAGATCAGGCGAGTAAGGAGGATGAGGCAAAAGAGTTGCTTTCATTTTCACAAGAAAGTCACGAGTAGGGATCAGTGAGAAGGAGCATTGTCATGCAACAGCACCCATTGACTACTCAGCCCACATTTTTGGTATCTTTTTCCAGGAGCAGGAGATGGATTTTTATTTTCAAATGTCAACTGTAGATGTTGAATGCATTTTTTTATTTAATCTCACTTTAAAATCATAGAAAATGATAGCGTGATAATGTTCTTATATGACTTCTATTCATTCTACACTAAACTACATGCAAATAGCCAATTAAAAAACATCTGCTATGCCAAAATAGTTCATATTTTCAAATCTAATCATTAATATTTCTCTGCCACTTATCGTCTGTATGCATCTAAAAAATTTCACCTCCATACAAATTCATTTATTTTACACTTGTATACTATATCTTTTGACTTTTTAATCTGTTCTAAAGCAGAGCAAAAATACTTACTTTTCGCTGATCTAGCTGGGAATTATGGACAAGTGCAGGTTTCATGTTTGGATACAGAGTTACCATGACACCAAAATCCCTGTGAAATACATGAATAATAATGATGATGATGATGGCAACGTTGATAAATCTGTTGAAATTTCCTTTATTATATGGAAATGAAATATTACCTTATCTCAACGATTTTTGCAGTGTAAATTGCACCAAATTCTAATTGTGGTTCTTTCTGGGGGTAAAAAAATATCTATGGCTATATGAAATGATATATAAATATTAAACCTACATCAAATATATTTAACTTCTAATCATTAATAAAATGCCAACTGGAAATAGGGAAGAAATAAATAATTCAATAACATAACTAAAATCCATATAAGCTATAAGATTTAATTTTATTTATTAAGATGAAATTTGAGAAACATTTTTTTACATGATAAATTTTGCTTAAAAAATCACAGTCTGTATTTGTTTTGTAGACTCTTCTCTCAAAATTTCTCCATCAAATTTGTGAAAAATATTAAATATTTTATTTCATATTTCACTAAAAATAATTTTAAACCTCTATTATTAAAAAGTAGTTCATGAACAAGTGATTTCTTGAATTTAATTGCTCACTTCTTTATCATCAGACTATACCTGGAGGTTCAATATTAAAAAGCACATTATCTGGAAACTGCTATCTGTGAAAGTTCAGCTCTTATTTAACAGTAACTTTTATACATTTCTCTTTGAAAATATGCAGATAATTTTTGATTTCACTTTTTAATAAAAACCTTGCTGTTTAAAAGCAATTACTGATACAGTGGAACCTTGAGATATGAGCACCTCTATATACAAGAAATTTGAGATACGAGGAAAGTATGAGTGAAAAATTTGTCTCTAAATTCGATCATTGACTCGAGTAATGAGTGATGAGCCAGGCTGTTGGTATGCGTGATGCCATTTCCTGATCCGGCTCGACTCAGGAAATCTCCTAGTCAGACCACTCAGTGTTGTTTGATCTATGTGTTTGTGCACTTGTGATTTAATTGTTTATTACATTTAATGTGAAAATAATTATTTTATGATGCCTCCCAAAAAGATTATTGTCTTCAGTAGTGCTGCAAAGCAAAATTAGGAAGCCATGGCCATTGAAATGAAGAAAGAAATCATAGACAAACATAAGCATAGTGTACGAGTGACGGAATTGGTGAAGACTTACGGTCTTTCAAGATCGATGATCTGCATTATTCTGAAGAAAAAGGAAGAAATTAAGAAACTTGATGTAGGCAAAGGAGTTACAGTTACTTCCAAGCATCGTCCAAAACTCCTAGAAGCTGTTGTTGGTGTGGATTAACGAGAAGCAATTAAGATTGGTGTTGGAAGCTATCATAAAGGTAAACTATGGTTCTATTATTTACCAATGTTATTACAAAAATGGATTTTTATGTTGATATTTTTGTGGGTGCAGAACAGACTAACTGGATTTCCATTATTTTCAATGGGGAAGTTTGTTTCTAGATACGAAAAATTCGCTATACAAGCTCAATGCTGGAATGAATTAAACCTGAATCTCGAGGTTCCACTGTAACAATTAGTATTATTTCATTGAGCCATAAATACAAAAATCACCATATCAAGAATACTATATATGTGTTGAAATAGCTTTTACAAATCATTTATTACTTACAAAATTTGATGAGTAAAAATAATTTTCAGATTTTGGAGATTTGATAGATAAGAGAGCTAATCATTAATGAAAATACTTGTTTTTCTTTCCAAGCCTCACACTTTGAAACCTACTCTTAAAATCAATCAGTAAAATTTGCTGCCATCCATTTTTATAACTATTTTATTTGAAAAGACACATTTCCATAGGCAATAATTTTTAAGGAATGCAAGCTAAGTTTTTTACCAATACTTTTTTTCCTGTCACAGGATATTTTTTTCTAAAATGTTGATTCCCCCTTTCTTTCTTTCTTTCTTTTTTTTTTTTAAGTGGTAATCCAGACACATGAAGAAATAAAACTGATTTGCATTTTTTGAACATTTTTGTTTTAAAATGAGTCTGTTTTCAGACTTCTATATAAAATTGCAATAATCTTTTGTTAGTATCAGATTACGAAATTCCTTTATTATATTTATCGAAGAAACACACCGATGTCAAACAAAAAATGTTGGAAAAGTTAGCCTTATATTTGTGCTGATTTTATATAAAATAAATCAGTATGCAATTATTTATATAAAACTTACATTAATCTAAAGCTGATTACTTTCCCTAATTTTAAATGCCCCTTCATTGTCTTTCTCTTTGGGGATGAATCTTCTCTGCCAAAGGAAAAAACAGTGAAGAGACATTTAAACTACACAATGCCGAGGAGTAAAAGAAAGAGAACAAAGAAATTTAAACTAATAATGCGAAAGAGGAAAATAGTAAAGGGGCTTTTAACTAACTTCTTTCTAAAGCATTCTTCAATATCATTTCTGTTCCTGCTGTGCCAGCTGATGTTAAAATTTAAATTACTAACCCATCTGATAAAATATTCCAACAATCAATAATTTTATCCAATATATTCAAACTTGCAATTTTTATCATGTAAAGCATTTCTGCCCTCACTGAATTTACTACCCTTAACATTTTAAAATTTTAAAGCATGAAATGAACTGATTTTAAAATAAAATGAGCATTACTACTAAGTGCAAATAAGTACCTTTAAATCATATTCACCGGGAGATAGCTAATAAAACAAGAAAACAGAAAAACAATTATTATTGGCTTCACACTGTAAGTACAGGTGAATATAATTTAATCTTTGAATAAATAACCCCTTTCAACAAAAGAAAACTTGTGATGAGTAGAGACTTCTGACTATCAACAGCTTGCTCTTTTCTCTGAAAATTCAGCAGTTCTTTTCACACATGCAGATGTGGAACAAATTTCAAAAATAGGGAAAAAAAAAAAAAAAAAAAAAAAAAAACTATTTGGAAACATTAAAGGTGAGCTTGCAATACTTTTTCTTCATGTAAGTAATAAAAAAGAGAAGAAAGGCTTTTCTAGGCCAGAATTGGAAGGAAGAATAAATCTGACTTAAAGATGAAAGCTCATAATGTAGTTTAACCCCTTCTACAGCAGTTATTAGTGACATATATGCCTGCATTCAATGATCTTTGACAAAAACCTAATTTTTAGAGATATACGATGCTGGGGACCGACCATAGGATTCCCTTTCTTACTGCCTAAATGGAAGCACTAAGTAGTAATACTCTGATACTGATACTCCATTTACATTACAATGGAAAATACTGAAAATAACAAATGCTATTTTGTATCAGTTCCACCAACAGAAAAGAGAGAGAGAGAGAGACAAAATATCTGATGCACACACCACATGACTTCCTCGTATGGAATATTAAAATTATGTGCAATTTTTCTGCATTTCATTTAAACATATTGAATAAACAGTTAACGAATTTTGAATTAAATCTACTTCGTGGATAATGTAAAAACCAGAACAGGATAAATGCACTCTTTAAAGTTTACTATATTTATTTACCATAATGATACTTCGGTACTAGGTTACATCTCGTTTATCTCAGCATTACATCTTATTCATTTTATAACTGCATAAAAGTTATCACAAAAGTATATCATCTGAAGAATCACCATACATTCTGTTATGTAGGCAATGATTAGCTCTCTTTAATTTCTTTTAGATAATTTTTTCATTTTAGATTTATTGTAAAATGATGTATAAAAGAAATTAAACAAATAAAAAAGAAACAGTTTTTCACAGACGATTCAGCGCCACTTACCACGATTCAGCACCACTTACCACTTAATAATATGCATGTGCTGCTAATTAATTCAGTTTTCACTTTACGGCAAGGCAAACGTACATAAAAATTCAAAATATTTTCATTAAAAATTGAAAGATATGGGAAAACAAAAAAACAGCAAGTACAGTTAAAACAATTAAAAAAACAATTTTTACAATTAAAATTACAGTTTCTATGAAAAAATAAGCAAACTTAAATGATAATTCCAGAATGGATTAAGCATAATTTAATTCATAATAAATAATAAAAACTTTGTCGCTACTTTGTTGTTGCAAAGCTTAGTTTCTCTAGATTGGCAGCAAATCCACTGTTCTGCTAAGAATTCAAATGTAAACAAACATGGCCGTCATGGTAATCAAAAATTAGGCTTAGCTGCACATAAAAAACTTTTAAATTGTTGATAATTCTACTACAATAGCATGCAAATTAACTAAGCATAAAGACCTCATTCAGAACATAAGAACTACGTAATTCAATAATTAAAAAAAAAAAAAAAAAAAAAAAAAAAAAAAAAAAAAAAAAAAAAAAAGCAATTTACCAACATATAAGAATAAAAAAAATGACCCCAGTAACAGAGTGGATCTCTCTCTCTATATATTTATTTATACATTTTTGGTGTGGCCGATTGCAACCAAAATGGGAGGTGCACATCTACATGTTATAGAAGTCCTATATAAAAAATTTTAACCTTCTGAGGCAACTCGTTTTTGAGTTATGCAAGATACATATGTACGCACGTGCAGACACCACGAAAAAAATCCCTTCAAAATTCATAAGAATCTTCAGATTTTAAAATCAGTTTTATAATTTTTTTTTTGGGGAAAAAGCATCCTCCATTCTGACCTTACAAACAGATGTCATGCAAAAACATAGTTAAAGTGCATTCAATAGTGGTCAAAATAGGTATTTTTGTTAAAATATGAAACCCGAAATTTTTCTCGATTACAATAATTTTTTTTTTTTTTTACTTCATACAAGGAAGTAAAAAACCCATTTCTAGAGGAAAGAAGGAAAGATGCATTGCTTGTGGTAAAGGGAAAAAAAAAAAAAAAAAAAAAAAATACAGCATTAAACATCATGCCCTCAAAAAAAAAAAAAAAAAAAAAAGGGGGGGGGGGGAGGGGGGGGAATCTCATAAATACTATACTGAAATCTGCATAATCTACAATCACAAAAGCTCTATAACAATCATTGCAACATTCCTTGAATTTCTTTAAAGTTCTAGAATTCTACTTAACTAGGTGGCCACCTTCAACTGGCAGCTTGAATTGGATGCCTAGTAGGTATCACTCTTATTGGTGAAAGAGTGCCCTAGTTATGTGGATGATGTTTGGCACATTTCATATACAGTATAATTCCTGATAAAATAATAATATATATAAAAAACGTACCTCTTCGATTAAGAGCTTATCAATAACTTCTTTTGCTTCTGCCATAGCTGCAGCATTTGGAGCAAAAACTGAAAATACTCCATTTTCAATATTGGTGAGTTGCACACCTAAGGTAAAACAAATTAATGTAATTTTTTCTACCATTTCTACAGAAATTATATATTGAAAACTTATAATTGCACATAAATTAGTAATATGAAATTTTAGCTTTTCAGTGACTGATACATATTTTCCTCCAGACACTGGAATAGTTTTATATTTGAGAACAACTGCTATAGTGTAAGCTTTTGAAAAGTTCCTGCATTTCAAATTTTAGAGTGTACTTTTGCTTGAAGTATATGCATTCATAAACTTTGGCTGTGTTTATATGTTGGCCTTTATTTATTAACAGCAAAGCTAAACTGAAAGGCAAAAGGCTACCAGAAATGAGTTAATCTAGCTGAACAGTGGCTCCTAAGTGGTAGACAGTTAAGCTTTCATCCAGGCAAATTCTAAAATATGCAAGCTTTTATTATTTTTTTTTTTTATTATTATTTTTTTTTTTTTTGCTGTTTTGCAATAATATTGTGCAATAAAATAAGCAAAATATAAATACCATTTATTTGAAATGGCAGAACTAATGGTTGCTTGCACAGCACACTCCTTGCTTATTGTGGATCTGTGTAGCACTAATGCTAGAATTTCATTCATATGCAATGCAATATTCATTCTTTAGCACTGAATGTTTGCTGGTAAGAAGTTATCAGCAATTTTAAAAGATCATAGTTTGAAAATGACACTAAAGAAATCATACAAATTGCAAAAGCAAAGGATTTTCAGATCTGAAAGAATAAGTCAGAGAATTAATGCAGAAAGAATTGTACAACAATAATTAGGTATATTTAAATTTTACATACTTTCTTATTCTGAATTATACCTAACAATGCATCCTTTTACACAACTTATCAATGACGTATTCTCTGCATTCTGCAAGGATTTACTGTATATTATACATCATTACTCATTATACTACCTCACATATTATATGAATAATTCGGCTTTTTTTCTACATTTACAAAATTACTATTTATTTTCAAGCACTATTGTAAATAGTATATTCTTTATTTATCATTAAAAAATTATCATTTCATTTTTGTAACTGCATTATAGCAAAAATAAAAGAAAGCTAGATAAAAGAAACGAGGAGTAATAAAATCAAGTGCATAATAAGCAATATTATCTATTATGATCCTGCAAGTTATGTCAATGTGTTAATACATACTAGGTGGTACTATAAACAATTATCTTATTTAGAAAGAAGCCACATTATAAACCTCACAAAAGCCCAACAAATGTATCAGTTGTTATCTTGATCAAAGCAATATAGTTTCACAATTTTGGTTGCAATGGATTAGGCAAAGCCCTTGACATGGATGCCAAAGGCTTAGAAAATCCCAGACGAAAAAATGCTATCATGTAATCAAAAGAACAGCTACAGCCACAATAGTGGCATCATAATCATCCATTTAAAGATACTTGCCCAGTTTTATGCATCTTTTATGCAGTATTCAAAGATACTAGTTAGAGGCAACTTTGAGAAGCTGAAATTAAATTTCAGTGTCTAATGAGGTTACCATTGAAGCCCCATATGTAAAGCTAACCAAATTAGAGAGAGTTTTAGTCATCTGGTACAATGCCCAATTGGAAGTACATAGCCATAATTGACAAGTTCTGTTTCTTTCACTGCTTATGACCACTGCATATATAAGATGAAGGAATGGCCACTGGAATTGATCCCACATTTGTTATCAAATAGTGCATGACTACCATTCTTGGTATGATAATATGAACAGAGGTGTCTTAGGAAACATGATTTCTAATTCTGTTTCAAGTAGTCTTGAAGGCTTACATGAACTTTGATGACATTCTGTAAGCCAATCGTAGTGCCCAATGCTATGAACTATTCAAGCACCAATTCCAAAAACACATTGCTTGATCAAATATTGCACAATATTTTCAGTTTTGTATTTGAGGACTTAATACCTTTTTATGGCCATTAAGGCCCCCGACTTATTAATAAAATACGTCTGGGACATGCTAGGAAGGAAACTGCAGTTTTCTCAGGAAATACTGAGTTAGTTGACCAGCTGCAAAATTTGCAGCAGAATCTTTTGCACAACTTCATATAAACTTAACTAAGTCTACCAGGGTTGCCACTCAAACAGGAGAATGAAATTCCCTGACTTTTCCAGGTTTTCCAGGTGTGTTTTAAGAAAATTCCACTCTATCCGCATAATGCGCGTTTGCTGTGCTGAGGGGTAAATTAATTATGGTACCACTTGAAAACACAAAAATTTGAAAATCACATATGATGAATCACTGTCTCAAAGCATTACTATTATAATTATAATCACAGTTGTTTTCTCTACTGAAGATTGAGAATGTGCCCAATCTGGATTAAAAAATGTCTTTTTTTGAGATATTTTGCAGCTAAGCGAAAGAACGAAATCTATTTAATGATATTTTTAAATAAATTCAGGTATTTTACATTTATTTAGCAGCATACATAAGGAAAAAACATGTGCATTAAATTTTGTAATGATATGTCATCATACTGCAAGAATTAGTTGCAGGAGTATGTTAGAGGAAATTGCCTAAAATTTGAAAGGATTATTAACTCATAATAAATGCATTTAAAGGGAAGAAGCAACATTAAATGATATGAATAACATTAAAATAAAGTTAATTACTTAAAAATTGAATTACAAAAACCAACAATATTTTTTCGGATATAGTTATTAAATGGTTAGCCAAGATGAATGCTTATTATTTTTTTTTATTTTACTGCAAAATGACAAATAAGGCATTTGTTAAGGTAAAAAAGTGTTAAAAGATTTTGTGGGAAAATCCTAGTATACAGTACATCCTTGGCACGATTTTGAAAATTGTCGCCAATACCAAAGTGACCCGTTTACTGCTCATTATAATGTTGCCAAATCCTGTGTATACTGTATACTGGGATTGAATCAACTTTGTTTTATACGACAATGGAAAGGCATTTACTTTTGTTCAACATGCACTGCAAATGTGCATGCGAATCTTTCGATGTTACTGGAAACCAAAGTTGGTGAAAACTTGTTTTGCCTTTTTAAAAGACAATCTGATTGGAACTGCAAAAACTGGCTCTACATCAGCTGCCTGAATGACACTCATGCAATACATAATTCGTCAAGAAAAGTGATCACTTCCAATATTGGTGTAAAAATCGCTTTTTGGGGCGAAAGCCACAGGAAATTCCCTGAATTTTCCAGATTTTGATAAAAATATTTAAATTCCCTGAAAATAAAACTTTTTTAGTTAATTTTCGAATTCCCTGACTTTTTCCGGTTTTTCAGGTAGTGTGGCAACTTTGGTCTACACAGCTCATAGTTTTGGTTTGAATAGCTGCAGGGAAGGATTTATAACTAACTAAAATGTAACCTTGTTACCACTGTTTTTTGATGATATTATTATTTATTTCCTAGAACCTTTAAAATTTTAATCACTTGCATAACTCCTCAAACTATACATACATGAATTTCATGCTAGTAGCTCAGTTTTTTAAGTACGCATATTTTTTTCAAATAATACCTGTTTATGCATGCTCAAATAGTAACTGCGCCCCCAAGTAGAGAGCAGCAGAGATGAGATAAGAAGAATGGCTAAGAGCCATTATGTGTGTGATATGTAAACTCAATATTTAAGTTTTCAATAAACAATTATAGTGGTAAATCAGTGATTATTATTATATTGAGCAAGTGTCTCCATAACATGGAAAGCAGGAGTCGAACCAGCGACCTACAGATGCTGTGATAAATTGGTGGATAGTGATATACAAAGTGCGCATGAGTGAAAGTGACGATTTTCATCAAGTCCATAAAGTGATTCAGTGATTTGAGGTCAGAGCAATTTCCTTATTTAATTTTACTTATAGTTTAAAGAATATCTTTAATTACTAAATTAAGGAAAGACGAGTTAAAAACTTGTCGCTGCGGAGTTAGGTCTAACCATTGAGGAAGACGCGAAAATTGTTCATTTAAAGAATTTTATAGAGACTAGTAAGGTTTTCAAAACTGATCCTGAGTTAGTAAAAAGCTTATTTGATTAAATGCTTGAAGGAAAAAAACTCAAAGCCAAAACTGAGTCAAAAATTGCATTTTAAAAACTTGAAAACAAAACAAAGTCAAAGTTGGAGAAAATAAAACTAGCGCTGGAGAAAGAACTTGAAATCGCGAATAAGCGAAGAGAGTTGTCTCCCAAGACAGTTTAGAAAATTTAATTAAAAGTATTAAAACACTGTGTATCCCAATACCTTCGAGATTAGGGTCATTTAATCTTTTTTTTTTTTTTTTTTCCAGACCCCTGAGAAAGCGTTTAAAACCAAAAATGTGTCCGATGAGCTAAAATCGGAAATTCTCTTAAATATAAAAGGTGAGAGAGCAAATAATTTAATGGTTTATTTGACTGAGGAAGACTTGTGCAGTTATGATAAGGTTAAAAAAATAGTATTGAAAGAATTTCAACCAACGCCACAAGAGTGTTTAAACAGTTTTCAAAGATCACAAAAATTATATTCAAAGAGTTATGTACAATTTATGTCAATATTAAGTGCTACATTCAAGTATTATTGTCTGTGGGGTAAAGAGAGTGATTTTAAATCATTATGTGAATTAATTGTGTTAGATAAAATATTCGGTTTACTTGATCGTGAACTGGTGACACATATTGCAGTTAAACAAAGAGAATCATATTTTAAACCACAACTACTAGGACGAGAATGTAACATTTATTTAACTTATTAACAAACGGTAAAGGTAAAAGTGAATATAATGTATATACAAAACCTTCTAGCGGGACACAATTAAACAGCATGAAGGTCACAAACAGGAAAAGTTTCAGAATTAGCGTTTCTAAAAAAAGGTATCGAATGTGTTTTTATCAGAAGAAAAAAATGTTTAATGTAATTTGTAAAGTCCACGCTTTTGACTCATGTCTTCAATTTCAAAAACTTTTGGTTCCAGAAAGAATAGAAGTTGTTAAAATAAATAAGGCATGTTTCAAAAGTTTGTCCCCCAAATGTAGTGTAAGA